TCCTGCCCCCGCCCCGCGGCGCCCCCCCCCCCGCCCGCCGCAACTCCGCTGAGTGCTGGGCGCTCCGCGAGGGGGCCGCGGAGCCGTCAGTCAGGCCAGCAGCGCCGCTGATTGGCTGACGCGCCGGTGGGGGGCAGGCCTGGGCGCTGGCATCCCTGACGGGACCTTGAAGCTCTGATCTCACCCTCTCAGGATCTCTTCAGGCTCTCTTCTCTCCCTCACCGCAGCCTCCGACTGGAGCAGCAGCCTAGTGGCAACCAGAGGTCCTCAGAGCCCGATGCGCCACGACGCCTTCAAAAGAATTCTCTCAGGGAGAGCTTAGAAAATGTGGGTGTTCTGAGCAAGACCCTCTTCCTCTTTACGCCTTCTTCCTTCTGGGTAGTTCGAGGGCCTCTAGCTCGTGGCCACGTTTACAGTTTCGGAAGTTTTCAGAGGCCTGCGCTGGTCTGCTCGCATAATGTATTTCCCCCTCAGAACAAGTCCCCTTAAGGATCTGGGGTTTCCCCCTGGATGGCTGTGGCTCTCAGGAGGGTGGCGCTGGGCCTGCCTCTGCAGAAATGGACCCGCAGGAGGCCCCGTGGAGCAGGAAGTCAGGGACTTCCATGTGGGGACAGCCCCAGAGTGGCAGCAGCCAGGTGGCTGAGTCTGCGAACGGAGCCCTAACCCAGCTCAGCGTGGCCTTTCCGAATTCCTGGTCTGAGGGGACAGGGGGCTTCTCCAAAACGACGCTTATTTGGAGACTAGAGGAAGCGGCCCAGAATAGTGTCGAGCCAGGCCTTGGGCTCTGCATCCTTCATGGGGAGTCCACATGCTAGTCACTCTTCCGAAAGTGGGGCGCCCTTGTCTCATCTGAGTGGTGTCTCAAGTTTCTCTTCTGAGGACCAGTTATAAGAAAGAGCCCGTGTAGCTGTGGGGAGGGTTTCTTGATGTTCTGTACTTGTCCATCACTGGAGGGGACACTGTTGCCACTGCTACTGACGGCCAGAGGTCACTTGCTATGGAGCGGGCTTGTTGAGTGTGCTCTATTTTACTATAGGACAGTCTACAGGGTCAGCTTTGAAGCTCCCAGGAAGGTACTCTAGTAACCTTACACTCATGCAGCGCGAGATGTAGCCAGGGGCCCTGATGCAGCCTCAGAGAAGCAGCCCTCTCTTACAATGCACTGTAGTGGCCTAGATCATTTCGTTGCCTTGCAGTGTGATGGTTAGACTTAGGGATTTGTCTCCTTTTTACTTTACTGTTCTTGGTGATCGGCTCCAGAAGATTCTGACTGAGCTAGTTTAGGTCAAGGCTAGAAGCAGGTAATTTGGTGCATTTGTGAAGAGGTGGACGTGGTGGCATACACCTTTATTCTAAAAGCATCTCTGAGTTTAAGCTAGGCAGAGCTGCTACATAGATCCCAACACACACACACACACACACACACACACACACACACACACCCAGTGAGATAAAATGGGATTTCTTTTTTCTTCTTTTTTACATGTGTTGATCATGTGGATCATAGGAGCGCTTCCAAGAGTCGGTTCTCC